AATCTAGAGTAATGTCGCTATGGCATGAACTAGGATCATCCCCAAATTTCAATTTTTACTATTTTTAAAAGTTAAAAAAATTAGTACAAAAAAAATTTTTTTTTCAGGCAGTCGCCATTTTGTGAAAAAATTTTTTTTCAACTTTTCCCTAGTTCATGCCATAGCGACATTACTCTAGATTAATAATCTTTTTTATTTTTTTATTTCCGATTGCTAGGATGATTGGAATCGTGGGCATGGTCACGTGCCCCCTTCCCCCACTTCATCAGCTGCTAATTTTTTGAATTTTTAACTTTTTTTATTTTTTTCTGTATTCTTGCAATGTTAATAAATAACTTATAAAAAAATGGATGGTAAAAATATTGATTGCCTTTTTTACGGCACTTCAAAAAATTACCTGAAATTCATGCTTCTAGACTAGAATACCCCCTTAAACATTTTTGCCTTTTGTAATTTTCCGATATTTGTTAGTATCCATAAAAAAAAAAATTTTTAATTTACCTAAAGGAGTTTTTCAACGGCTACTATAAAAATATCAAAAAATGATAAAACTCAAAAAAATAAATTTTTAAACTTTCCGATTTGGCTGAATGCCCTATATATAGACAAATATATTTATATATACCCATAGATTTTAGATATATTAAATTTAATTTATCGAAGCATTTGGTAAAATTACACATTCTCGTTAGTTATACTCTGCACACTTGTTCATCCTGTCTTGAAATTCTGGATTGGCGATTTTAATCTCGATAGCCTTGACTAGCGCACAGGACTCTCGAGTCGGTGGCTCTCTCAGCTTCTCCTTGGCCAGATATTGTAAGTCAGCGTTGTATTTGCCTTCAGCGAATACTCGTATGAACATCTGCTATTTTTGCTGAGCAGCAAAAGAAGTGATCACCCTTTGTTAAATTAGATTTAAATAACCTAACAATAAATAATTCTACAACACTATTTAAAGTACTAAGTTTAAATATTAATAGTTTTACGGGTCATATTGCACAGTTAAATAAATTAGTAGCTGAATTAAATCATTGATAATAGCACATTTTCATTACCTGATTATATTATTTTCAAGCGAGATCGAAATTTAGTGCATACAGACACTGGACGTTTCGTGCAAGGTGGGGGAGTTGCTTGTCTTATTCATAAATCATTTAAAGCTAATATATATTACATTTTTCATTTTCAGATGATATAAATACACTAGAATTTTTAGTGTTATTTAGATGTTAAACTCACGAGTGGCTCACACCTTTTATTATCTTGTGTCTGCCGGCGTCCCAATGGTCACACGCTTTTTAACTTCTTTAATGTATACTCCAAGTATTCATCTAGTTCTAAAAATTCTATTATCGCAGGAGATTTAAATCGTAATTTGTTAGAATCGACTTGGGCATCTAATCATTTCAATTCATTGATTTTCGTATCTGCATTACATTGCGTTCCTTTTAAGGAAGTACGAGCACCAAGGCAACTTTTGACAAAAGGCTTGATTTTTTTTTAATATGAAGTTTAAATATGTCTAAACAAATCCTGAAAGTTTGAAGGAGATTGCCCGATCATTTAAATAAATAATTAACTTTAAAGTTGAGCAATTTAACATTGGTCTTATGGGGTAACCTTCAAACATTGATACATTTCTGTATTTTTCTCGTAAAACTCTCGGTGAATAGTTTTAAAAAACTTATGGATGAAAGTAAATATATTAGTGATAAATTTAATTCAAAAACATTTACCCCGTGTAAAAAAAAATCGTCTTAAAATTGTCTTAAAATTGTCGTTCGTTTAAGATCTTAAATGTGACACAAACTAAGACTATTTTAAGACTCTTTTAAGACGGCAAAAGAAAAATTTCGAGAGCAGATTTTTGAACATTTTGTTCTCGAATTTGTTGTGAAAATTAATTTTTAGACGATTTTACGACTTTCTAACCGCAATATTTTTGAGTAAGATGTTATTTTTAAATTGAATTTAAAATTGTTAAAAAATTATTATCTGACAATTTTAAGACTTTTTTAAGACGTTCCGTTATAATGTTCCGGGGCTCTGTCGCTGTTAGTCCATCTTAAAATAGTCAAAATTTTTTATTAAGATTTTTTTAAGACTAATTTAAGACAATTTAAAGACGCTCCATTTAAAATTGTTAAAAATTATTATCTGACAATTTTAAGACTTTTTTAAGACGTTCCGTTATAATGTTCCGGGGCTCTGTCGCTGTTAGTCCATCTTAAAATAGTCAAAATTTTTTTTTAAGATTTTTTTAAGACTAATTTAAGACAATTTAAAGACGCTCCATAATAATTTTCCGGAGCTGTCACTGTGATGTCATCTGAGTGACTATTTTAAGAGTATTCAAGACTATTTAAAAATCATTTTAAAACTTAAATCTTAAAATAGTCTTAAAAAGATCAAAATAATTATTAAAAAATTTCGGAATTTTTTTTTTTTGGCATCTTAAAAGAGTCTTAAAATAGTCTTAGTTTGTGTCACGTTTAAGATCTTAAACGAACGACTATTTTAAGACGATTTTTTTTTACACGGGACACTTGCCCGACTAATTATAAAGTGTATTAATTAAAAGAAAAATAAATGCCGCCACTAGCCAATGTTAAATGTATATCTATATATTGAAAAAAATCATATGGTTACTGCGTTCCCCTTACCGCGCTAGAGTCGATACCTATCCCCACCCTGCCTGGCGCTCGTACTTCCTTAATGCTACTTTATCACAGTGGATCAAAAAATTTCTGGTTTTAGGCTTAGAAAAATTAGACTTAGAATCCAAACTAGGTACCTTTTTCAAATCAGATTCGCCTTTCATATCAGGTCACGATTTTCTATTTTGTGAATATTTAGTATATTTGTCAAAACCTTCGGATAAAACAATTATTTATAGAAATTTTAAAAATTGTGATCACACTGTACTATCTGATTCATTATTGAAAATATTCAATATTAATGATAATGATACTATGAAAAACTTCAACCCTAATGACTTACTAACATTTTTTCTGAGTAATGTGATAGAGTTAGTTGATGAACATGCCCCATTCATTATACGCGAAAAATTACAAATAATTCTAATATCTGGATTACCAAAGAATTTGAATCTAAATATCGCGAGCGAGATTTGTTGTACAAAAGAGCGAAAAGAACTAAGAATATGAAACTCCTTAAACTTTACAAAATTAAAAGAAAAGAAACTGAAATATGAAATGAATCAAGCTGGCAATGATTATTTGAAAAACGAACTTTTGCAAGAACTAATTGGTCAATAAGTTTAGAGTAAATTTAAACATTTAGGGTCGATTAACTTCAACGATATTGACGGGCAAAAGCCTAGATGGTCTAAATTTAGGGTGACTAGGAGATCATATGTATCAAATTATTATTTTTCTGGGTTCATTGTTTAATCTTTTGTTTGATTGTGGAATTTCAAATCCAGATATTTGGAAAAGACTCTATGTTATTCGTTTAAATAAAGTTGTACTTTGTCATACCAGTTGGTGTCTTTGGTATACCAAAAATACTCGACCGGTGGCTAACTTATCTCACCTGAGTAAAGCCTTCGAAAGATAAGTACACTGAGAGAAAATTTTATTTAATAGTAATAAAATTTTATTACTATTTAATAAAACGTTTATTTGGCTAATAAAGGGGAAGGGGAAATAAACAAGTAGGTTAGGTTAGGATGTCTCGTTGAAACATCTTTATACTATTTATTTATTAATAGTATATTACATACCTAGGCCAGTAAAATAAGAAAAGTCTCAGACCACATGTAATTGTTGGCCGAGGTTGACAAACATGTGGTCTGAGGCTTTACTTTTTACTGGCCAAGGTGTGTATACTATTTTTCTGCTCGACGTAGCCGGAATGTGGCAACTTTGTTTAGCGCAGCGGCCAGAAAGTTGCCACTTTCCGGCCGGAGGGCAGAAAAAGATTTTACTGTGAAAATATATTTGAATATATTATAATTAATTGATGAATATTAATTTTTTTCTTGAAATTATTTGTTTTAATGACTTAATATTCGTATTAAAAACACATATTAGTATTTAAGAAAATTTTATTAAATACTAATAAAATTTTATTCATATGGAATAAAACTAAGTTTTCTTTTCAAGTCCAAATAAACTTTTTTATTACTATTAAATAAAATTTTCTCTCAGTGTAGCAAACCAAGTAGTAAATTATTTGGAAAAAAATGAGTTGCTTAACAAATATCAATCAGGTTTTAGAAAATATCATAAGTACAAAATTTACTTATTTTCTCAAACTAAACTGATGATTATATTCGTAATGCGATGAATAGAGGTGAATTAACACTTATAGTATTATTTGATTCAAGTAAAGCATTTGATTACGTCGATCCCAAAGTGATATTAAAAATTTTATTTGAATTAGGTTTTTCAATACTTAATGCGGTAGATTTGGTTACTAGGGATATCCAAGTTTTTTTCTGACTGGGTCAATGAGCATGGTTTACTTGTAAATTTAAAGAAAACGAAAACAATGATCAATGGAACAAATAGTAAATTAAAACAAATTGACTGGATCTCTCTTCCTCCCATTATTATTGACAATGTTATAATTATTCAAAACGATAAATTATATAAGATTTAAAAAATAAGAAATTTTGCCTATACTTTATTAAAAGATAAATTATCCAATTGTATATTGTTATAATATAATATTATTATATTTTTACTTGATTAGAAAAAAAATTTAAGTTATTCAAGACCAAGACGAGATCTTGACAAGACAATACAAGACGATATTGCAAATTACTTATTTTTAATGATCAATACAAGACTTAAATTTTAAAGTCAAAATCAAGACGAGATTAAAAATTTCAAGATCAAGACAAGACTTTCCAAATCTTGTCTTGTCTCGGGTCGAGTGAAGCCCTAGGATTTTATCGGTTTTTTTTATTTTTCTCCGTTTTTTGCAGTTTGACCCCCAATTTTGACTTCAGATTCATGTTCAGCGGTGAAAAATACGTCGGAAAGTATATGTCGCACACCCAGCACCGACCACTTTTTTTTTGTGGACCTGTGAAATTATTAGTAACAGCTACCATTTTACCGTTGATTGATTATTGTTCTGTTGTACTTATCGATTCGAAAGCAGAAAATGATTTCAAATTACAGCGTGCTCTAAATAATGCAATAAGATTAATCTTTAATCTTAGACGAGATGAACATATTTCACCGCATAGACAAGAATTAAAATGGCTGTCGGTTAAATCTAGAAGCATTTATTTTCTAGCTACACATTTTTATAAATTGTTATCTATTAGTAAGCTCAGTTATTTAAGAGAATTATTAATAGAAGTAAATTTCGCAACATCATATCTTGAGTATTCTTTTTTGGTATCAGCAATACGTCTTTGGCAGAAGCTACTAGTAAATGTATTAGATGCGAGTTCCCTAGAGGTATTTAAAAAAAACATGTTTGAATATTTATTATCAATTGATCTCTAATATCGATTCGACGTTTTTGTTATAAATGTGTAAGACATGTAATTTAATCTTATTAAGTTAGCGATATAGTTCAATTCAAATCAATCTAACTAATTATATCAATCTTATTAATCAAATTTTAAAATCAATTACCTTGTTAACATTAATCTTGTACTTTTTCAATATTTTTATAATATTAGAAGTAATCATTGTAATACTATTATGTGTACTTATAATCATACAAACTTCTTTTGTAATTTAAAATACCTTGCCACTCGGCCTGTGCCTTAGCATCTATTATCAATAAATCAATAAATAAACAGACAATCTACAATGCCAGTCTTTGTAGCCTTTGTTGCGATGAAAATTCAGTTTAAAGAAGAACAACAGGTAAGGTTGGAATAAGAGGGGACGTCAATACATATACATAAGTAAGGGAACTACACTGATAAAAAAATTAACTTGACTCAAGAATCAAAATCCTGAATCAAGAATATACCATTTTGAAGAAAATGATTTTCTTGAGTCAAGAGAATAAAACTTAAATCAGTTTTATTCTCTTGACTCAAGAAAATCATTTTCTTCAAAATGGTATATTCTTGATTCAGGATTTTGATTCTTGAGTCAAGTTAATTTTTTTATCAGTGTAGTTCCCTTACTTATGTATATGTATTGACGTCCCCTCTTATTCCAACCTTACCTGTTGTTCTTCTTTAAACTGAATTTTCATCGCAACAAAGGCTACAAAGACTGGCATTGTAGATTGTCTGTTTATTTATTGATTTATTGATAATAGATGCTAAGGCACAGGCCGAGTGGCAAGGTATTTTAAATTACAAAAGAAGTTTGTATGATTATAAGTACACATAATAGTATTACAATGATTACTTCTAATATTATAAAAATATTGAAAAAGTACAAGATTAATGTTAACAAGGTAATTGATTTTAAAATTTGATTAATAAGATTGATATAATTAGTTAGATTGATTTGAAGTTAATTTTTTTTTCAGTGTAACACTTCACGAAAATATATATCTAATGCAAAGACGATTGCGAAAAAATTATACAAAATACATTCGTATTTTCATAGGAATGTATTAACCCGTCTTTCCATCCTTTAGACAATTACCTCGAATGTTTTTTTTTTCTTTGGTTTTTTATGAGATTAAAATAGATTGAGGATATTTTTTAAAATTAAATTTTATTAAATTAACAATGAAAAATCATTTTTATTGGCATAAATAAATTTTAAAAATATTCAACATATGCTTACAAGAAATAAAATTTCCAAGATTCGTGTTTCCAAACCTACATCTCATTACAGTAGGTTATGCTATGAAATGTTTAAGATATTATTTAATGAGTAATTTATTATAAATAATTTATCATTTTTATGAAAAAACTCACTTTTTTACGAAGTATGTGTGTTATATGGACTGTAAATAGATGAAGTATAGCTAACTTAGCAAATTATTGGTGTACCCTCTTTGTGATGTCGCTGGTTGTTTTTTCTTGGTTTTGTGAGTGACCTAGAAAATCCGAGACAAAACTAGGATTTTTTTAGAGACAGTGCTCTGGATTAAATTAGACTGAGAGCACACAGAATGCTTTGTATCTGAACTGTACCATAATATAGTGTAAAATTTTTTTTTTTTACGAAAAAATAGAACCTACAAGCATATTTAAATTAACCATTTTAAGAGAAAATGAATAAAGTTGAAAAAAATCAATAAAAATAATCGATCAGTCTTATTGGAGTATATTCTAGAATTATCGAATATGTTCATTGAGAAAGCAAAGATTAATTGCGGATTATGATAAATTATAACATTTATCATTCTATATACATTTTCTGTCATCCTCGTAGTATGTTTATAAATTTTTATCTCAAAGATTAATCCTAAAGGTTCTGAAAAATAAAAAAATATTGATTTTAATAATTGAAGGAGTAATAAAATAAAAGCCTGGAGTAATTATTTGGAAGTGGGTATGATCCTACTTTTGACCGTAAATTGTAAAGTAGACATTTTGGTATATTTTTAACTTCTCGCTAAAAAAATCGAAGATTTTCAAAAATCGGGAAGTTATTGGTTTTACCCCGTTTTGCAAAAATCGAGTTTTCATCTGATCTTAACGTTCGAAGGTTACGGGAAGCTTCCCTGACTACTCCCGTGAGGTTGTCACTGTGTGTGTGTGTGTGTGTTTTTTTTTTTTTTTTTCCTTTAGGGGGGGGAATCCTTTTTACGGATTCTAGGCATAGATGTTGGCCCGGATATGTGGCGACTCGACGCAGCATCGTACTAAAACTTGACGCTGACGCCCCTACCCACTAAACCCTAAACCCCTTTCTCTTCTATCCTCTGATCCCCCATGGTACCGCCGTAAGGCATTTCTTCGCGGGGGGAGGAATTAGCTATCGCTCTTCCTTCTGGTGGCTAAGATGTTATCTTCCTTCTAGTTTCTGTCTTTTGCTCTTTTTCTCTCGATGGAACGCAGCTTTGTAAGCACTTCTGTGGCAAAAGTGTTCGTTGCATTCCAGGCAGCTTCTGAAGACAGCATTGCTTCTACGATTGACTCTGGTTGAATTGTCTTCTTCAGGATCTTCTCCAGCTCTTCACGTTGTTGATTGAAACGCGAGCACTCGAAAAAAACGTGCTCTGCATCTTCAGTGGCTCCAGGGCAGGACGGGCACTCCGGAGAGTCGTCATGCCTAAAGCGGTGAAGATAAGCCCGAAAGCAGCCATGTCCTGACAACATCTGTGTTAGGTAGTAGTTGACCTCACCGTGATTCCGGTTCAGCCAAATGTCGATCTTTGGTATGAGACGATGCGTCCATCTACCCTTCTCTGCGGCATCCCACTGAGATTGCCATCGTGCGATGCTGTGCTGTCTTTGTTCCGTTCTGAGTTCTTCTGCGCTCAGTGTTGTTGACCTCTTTCGTTGGTAAAGGTTCCGTCTTTCTTCAGCTAGGACTCTGAGAGGTAGAGTTCCAGAAATGACGCACACTGCTTCCTCAGATATTGTGCGGAAGGCGCAAGCTACTCTTAGGGCACTCAGACGATATACTGGTCCAGCCTTTCACCATGATTCTTGCTTTTCTGGTGCGTCCGCCCAGATAGATATTCCGTAAGTAAGCACTGATGTGACTACAGATGATAGTAGTCGTCTTCTGCTCTGCTTTGGGCCTCCGACGTTTGGCATCAATCGTGCGAGACTTGCCCTTACTACTGACGCTTTGGCACTGACGTGTTCCACTTGCTATTTAAAGTTGAGACGGGCATCAAGCATCACTCCCAAATATCGGATATAAGGTTGTGATGTGATTTCTTGTTCACCGACTTTAAGCTTGATGGTCTCTAACGCTTTTCTGCTGGTAATAAGCACTGCCTCAGTCTTATGTTTCGCCAGTTGAAGATTCATTGTGTCCATCCACTGGTTAACTTGCTGGAATGCTAGATCAAACATGTGGTGAATCTCGTCCAGGTGTTTAGCGACAATCACTACGGCCACGTCGTCCGCATACGCTACAAGTTTAACATTTCTCTGGATCTTTAGCCTTAGGAGCCCGTCATACATGATATTCCACAGCAGTGGGCCAAGAACAGAGCCCTGCGGAACACCTCCGGTGATTTCGTACTCTTTCGGACCGTCCTTTGTGTCATATCTCAGGACTCTATCCGTGAAGTAGCTAGCTACTATTTTACGTAGGTATCCTGGCACGTTCTTCTCTTGAAGAGCTTGCATAATGCAGTCCCAGTTAGCAGAGTTGAAGGCGTTTTTGATGTCTAACGTCGCCACCAGGCAGTACTTCTTCGTACCACCCTTCCATCTGGTTCCTGCAATTGCCTCCTGGGCCATAGTAACAACCAGATTGATCGCGTCCAGGGTTGATCGTCCTTTTCGGAATCCATACTGGTTGTTTGCCAGGAGTGGATCCACAACTGCTTCTATTCTTTGATGAATTATGCGTTCGAATATCTTACCGGCTGTATCCAGCATACAAAGTGGACGGTAAGATGACGGCTCTTCTGGTGGCTTCTTTCCTTTAGGGAGTAGAATCAGTCGTTGTTGTTTCCACTTATGCGGGAAAGTCCCCTCCTTAAGGCATTCATTATAAACGTCTTGGAATAATGTTGGAGCTGCCTTTATGATGGTTTTCAAGGCTAAATTAGGGATTCCATCCAATGCCGGCGCTTTATTATTCCCTACACGGTTACAAGCCTCCAGCAGTTCTTCTTCAGTGACAGGTGGGATGTCGTCCAATTCGCCTGGCGCCAACTGGTAATCGAAGTTGCGTTGCTGTGGAAACAGTGCAATGACGATTTTCTGAAGGAGTTGAGGACACGTAGGTGATGGCATTTGTTGTTTTTTCAAGTGGGTCATAACCACCTTATAAGGCCTACCCCACACGTCTTTATCCACTTCGTATATAAGCTCTTTCAGCATCTTCTTTTGCTCTCTTTGATGGCTTTATTCAGTTCACGACGCACCTTTTTGTACTCTGCGATCAGCTCCACGGAGTTGGGCCGTTGATAGCCGCGCTGAGAGATTCTTATTTTCTTATGACA